TCAGGACTGGAGTAGTGCCTAAATCTTGGAAGCTGGTCAATTTGCAGCCTGTGCCTAAAAAAGGTAGCCGTACCGACCCTGCCAACTATAGGCCAATTTCAATTAACTCCATACTCTGCAAGATTATGGAGCGTATATTGAACGCCCACCTCATGGCATACCTAGAGCAAAATGATCTCCTCAGTGATCGCCAGTACGGGTTTTGCCAAAATCGATCAACTGGGGACCTTCTAGCATATGCCACTCACATATGGGGCGAAGCCCTCGAGAACAGTGGTGAAGCACTTGCTGTTTCCCTCGATGTTTCGAAAGCTTTTGACAGGGTTTGGCACGCTAGTCTATTGGGCAAGCTTTCAGCGTACGGCTTATCCCCTGGCCTAATTGTCTGGGTGAAGGACATTCTGTGTGAATGGTCTCTCTGGGTCATCGTTGATGGCTGCTCATCCGATACTGTGGCGACTAACGCCGGTGTTCCTCAGGGGTCCGTTCTCTCCGCAACTCTCTTTCTGCTTATTCCCGGTGTCTATGGGTATGCAGACGACAGCACAGTTGTGGAGAGATACCAACCAAGCGCCCGAGCCAGTCAGGATTTAACGCCTCTAAAATACAAGCGTGTCTTTTTACCGCTGAAAGGAGCCCGCTCACCTGGCTCCTACTTTCCGGAATGTATCCTTGGAGTACACTGACCACCTTCAGTTGTTAGGGATTGAATTATCTCTGAACCTACACTATGGGCGGTTCATTGAGTCCAGAGCCAAAGCAGCCGCAAGGAATCTTGGTGTCATTGCAAGGGTGCTGCGGTACTTCACGCTGGGGCAGCTTCTTACCTTATATAAAGCGCAAGTCCGGTCCTGCATGGAGTACTGCTGTCACATATGGGCTGGTGCTGCAAAATGCCACCTGGCAGCATTGAACTCAGTGGAGAGACGTGATAAGAGGCTCATTGGTGACATTGATTTGGTTGAAACAAATCTTGTCAGCATTGAGCACAGGCGCAGAGTAGCCAGTCTCTCGGTATTCTATAGGATGCATTTCGGTGAGTGTGCGCAGGAATTACTCAGCTTAATTCCTCCCTCCCCTTTCCACCATCGGACAACCAGATGGTCGGCAGGTCTTCGTCCCTTTGTTGTCGATATTCCACGCATTATAACCAAATGGTTTGCTTCGTCTTTTGTAATGCAATTGATGTACAAAGGAATGGAATAATTTTCCGGCGTCTATCTTTCCGTCCGAATACAATCTAGGCGTCTTCAAGGCAAGAATGAATAGGCCTTTGTTACGATAAGACAGTGCGATTTACCATCTAAAGCTGCATCACCACTTACCACCAGTTGGGATTGTGGTCAAGCACTAGCTTACAATAAGTAAAGAAAAAATTCCCATCTGAGCCGCGTCTACGTGCTGTTTTCGAGAGTCATTACGAATCGTCTCGCGCGCAGACTCGACGACTTCCAGCCTGCCGAATAAGTCGGTTTCCGAAAGGGCTTTAGCACCATAGACCACATACATACCCTTCGGCAAATTGTACAGAAGTCCGAGGAGTACAATTTGCCACTATGTCTAGCGTATGTGGACTATGAGAAAGCCTTTGATTCCGTCGAAATTTGGGCGGTGCTGCAGTCCCTTCAGCGGTGCCAAGTTGAATGTCGGTATATCGAATTGCTGAAGTGTTTGTACAGTGAAGCTACGATGGCTATCCGAGTACAGAACCAGAGTACGAAACCTATCTAATTGCAGAGAGGTGTAAGACAGGGTGATGTTATATCCCCAAAACTTCACCGCTGCATTGGAAGACGTTTTCAAGATTCTGGACTTTAAAGGATACGGTATTAACATAAATGGCGAGTACATCACTCACCTTCGATTTGCCGACGATATAGTCCTTATGGCAGAATCGCTGGAGGACCTAAGCACCATTCTCAATGACCTGAATAGTGTCTCCCAACGAATAGGTCTTAGGATGTAACATGGACAAAACAAAGATCATGTTTAATGTCCATGTCACACTTATGCCGGTAGTTGTTGGGAGCACTAAGCTCGAAGTTGACGAGTATGTTTACCTGGAACAAATAGTCCGACTAGGTAAGTCCAACTTCGACCGAGAGGTCAATCGACGGATACAACGCGGCTGTGCAGCGTTCGGGAAACTACGACACATCTTCTCGTCAGACATACCTCAAAACCTTAAAACGAAATTGTACAACCAGTGCGTGTTGCCAGTGATGACTTACGGAGCTGAGACGTGGTCCTTCACTGCTGGCCGTATGAGAAAGCTCAAGGTTGCTCAGCGGGCTATGGAGAGGGCTATGCTATGATTAACTTAGAAATGAGTATATTCTCAGTAGAACCAGAGTAACCGACATAGCCGAACGGATTAGAAAGCTGAAGTGGCAGTGGGCCGGCCATATATCTTGAAGAACCAACAACCGATGGGGAAGGAAGATTCTTGAGTGGCAGCCTCGTACCGGTAGGTGAAGTGTAGGGCGACCCCCCACGAGATGGAGTGACGACCTGGTAAGACATGCAGGTAGTCGATGGATGCAGGTGGCTCGGGACCTTGCTTTGTGGCATTCCTTGGGGGAGGCCTATGTTCAGCAGTAGACTTATGAAAGGCTGTAATGATGATGATGCGTCTGTAAAATACCAGTTGGATCGACGGTGAACGAGAGGTTGCGTCAATCTAGTGGAGCATCATATCGATGGTGGCGAGTTGGAATTGAAGGTATTTCGAAACCCCCCTCCTCGTTAGTGGAGTATAAAGTTTAGTGTAGGTGCAGGGTGCGAGAGAATTCTCTTGAGTCACTCTACGAGTGCTTGGATAGAGTCGTTCTTTTGATAACAGTCAAGAAGGATGGTGTTACTGAGAGACTGTGCTGAGTTACATGGAGATGCGTAGTGTTGCTGTTGGTTTGCATAATTTGGCGTTATCATGTAATGATGTCTTTCACGTTACACCAGTGAGTGATTGTGACAAGGTCATAATACGGTATGATTGAAATTTAAATGCCTATACTGATTGTAAAGTGCAGTTACGCTGTTTTATGGCCACAAATGATTAACTGCGTAAGCAAGAGAGCAAGTTGAATATCTGCTCTCAAAATTTTTCTATTTTTAACAACTAACCTTTGCTGACGTATTCCCGCTAGTTTCGACATATAATTAATTTCTCAACTATACCTAGCGATAGTATGTGTATGTATATAACTTAAAAACCTGTTATTGGATTTAAGCACTATTTAAAATTTTCTTTTTATAATTATACTTGGTTGACCATCAAGTTTTTGAAACGCAATGAAACTCTAGGATAAATACGAGTACATGTAAATTGTATTTATTTTTCAAGGTAAAGGCATATTATGACTAATGGTGAGGTACGGTAGCTATCAAAATTTGTTACTATTATTTAAATTATTCAACATGTTTATGTGTACATTGTTATTTGCTTGATTTAATTATTGCCGTTGGCATGTGCACGAGTGAGCTAGAAATTTCAAAATTGTAGCACCGTGGGGTTTTTTACCGTGTAGTGGCGGTGTAAGAATATCCACTATCCCATATCGTTCCGTCGGTTTCATAAGACGCAACAGAGAGAAACAAATCAGGAGATGGGCAGAGGCGTCTACCTAATAACGAATAAAAAAAAACTACCTTTGCCAACCCGTTTGCAAAGCGCGGCAACTATGGAAAATATCCCCCCTATGAGGCAATCCATGGGGGAGGCATATGTTTAGCAGTGGATTTTAATAGACTATAACAATAACGGGCGTTTAAATAACATAAAATTGATTATTTTAAGAGTCCTGGTAATTGAGCTTAGCACTCGGTCTTAAATTTCATAATTTACATGCAGTTGCATGTGGGACCACAAAAAATATATTGGAACTTCGATTCAATCAAATATGATTAACACCTATTATATTAAGTAATACATCATCGTTACCTTTATTTGCATAATAATTTAATCGTGAGCATTGTCCAATGGATCTTAGTTGGAGCGATTTTCATATTATGATTTACCATGACTGTAAAGAATTTATCTATACAAATAAATTAAATTGAAGTCTCTGTTAGTAATGTCAAAATAAGAGCTGTTTCTAAATACAAATGAAAGTATTTACGGTATTTGTAATAAACATGGCTCCGGCAGAGGCCAACACGACTTTTGACCCAAGCCAGATCTATTCTGCCTCTATTGCATGTCTTGTGTTGTACATAATATGATGTATTTGTGTTACAATTGGGTGAGTGTTGCTTCTGTTGCTGATTGCTTTTATGGAGGAGAGTGAGTCCGAAAATATGATAGTATGAGGAAAATCGTTGGAGATTGCCCATTTGCATGCATTAAGAATAGCTAAAGCTCTGCTTGAAAAACACTGCAGGTATCATACAATTTATACTTCTTTGTAGTAAACGTTTTGTTGAGATTGAAGCAGACGAAGGCAGCACCAACGGTTCCGTCATCCTGCTTGCTGCCGTCTGTGAAGATAAGGGTAGTGATTGGTTCTGCCAATGCATCAACTTGTTGTTGATTATACACAAGTTTGGGCTTAACATTGATTCTGTGCGCTGGGTGCAGAAGTTTGTGGAAGTGAGTAGGTTGTTTTTTAATAGTTATATCGGCGGGCGCGTAACTAAATGTTTCGTTCGATGATATGAACTTCTTTTACTTTTAAATCTAACGGTAACATGTCTGCCAGGGCTATGGCAGCAAGCGTTGACACAGTACGGAAACCCCTAATGGCTCTGATTGCAAATCCTCTCTGCATTCTTTCTAAGCTCCTCCTGATGTACTTCTTGTGAACAATGTGTCCCCAGATACTTGCAGCATATGTGACTATTGGTACAATCACTTGCTGGTAAATGATACGGATATTTTCAGGGTGAGCTCCCCAAGTTGGTCTTGAGAAGATACAAAGGGTATTAAAAATTCGTGTCGCCTTACTAATGACGTACCGGATATGATTGCTAAATAGAAGCTTCTCGTCAAGAATTACTCCCAATTATTTCAATTCCTGTTTGAAAGTAAGAATATATCCGGCCATTTCAATTTGTGCACTTTTAGCCTTTGGCGTGAACGCTAGCATTTGGGTCTTGGAATGTCCGAATGTTAGCTTCACGCCAGTTCCCCATTCGTTTTCTATAGATAAGGCTTGGTTAGCGATGGTTTGTATTTTATGAACGTTGTCAGCTGTGATTATGAGTAGGAAATCATCTGCCAAAGCTTGCGCATGGCATTCTTCCGGAAATTTCTTATACAATAGTTCATCAAGTATAATATTCCACAGCGCTGGACCGCATGTGGAACCTTGTATGCAATCTCTCGACAAAGTCTTTTTAACGCGTTCACCAGCATGATCCAAGATGACAACGCGATCTTGAAAATAGCTCCTGATTAGTCCGAATATGTTGTTTGGACATGCAATGTACCGTAGTCGATTGAAAAGTGCTGGCCACCAAGCGCTATCAAAAGCAGCTTTGATGTCAAGAGAGATGGCCTCCGCTAACTGTTTGTTTTCTTTTGCCCTTTGGACTAGATCCAATGCAGTGTTAATGGTTTTTATGCTGTTCGTTTGTTCACGAAAACCGAATTGGCGACGGTTTATCTTTCCGTTTTGAGATGCGCAATGGGTAACCTTTTTAATGAATAATTTCTCTAAAAGCTTTCCGAACATGGGTAGAAGACCTATTGGTAGAAAAGAGCCCAGCTCTCCATACTCTTTCTTGCTTGGCTTGGGGATAATCTTGACATAAGCCATCTTCCACTGTTTGGGGAAATGCTGCAGTGTTAAACTTCGGTTGAAAAAGTCAGTAATTAGTTTGGGATAACTCATGGTGAACTGATGGCATATGTCTGAAGCAAAATGATCAATACCAGGAGCTTTCTTGGAGTTCATTTGCTCAAGACACTCCAACACCTCCTCCTCAGTGAATGGTCGGTTATCGTCAGTGTCAGGTAGCTTAGTCAAGTTTGCTCTGAGCCAATGATGTCGGGGTTTAGTGTCATCAGAATCATCTGGGTAGAAATGGTTGAGCAATGCCTCAGCTGTTTCTTTGGCAGAAGAAGTGAACTTGTCATTCGATTTTAAAGTGGTTGGAGATCGTCGGGGTGCGGTGACTTTAAGAAGCCTGTTTGTGAGCGACCAGACATTTTCTTTAGTTTGTAAATTACAAAAGGGAGTTTTTTTCCACTTACGAACTCTCTGTGGAATAATTTACCACCGGCTATTTTTCCGGACCGATACGACTTAGGGAGCTTCAAGAAAGAAGCATACTCCTTTTTAAAGGCCGGCAACGCACCTGCAATTCCCTTGGTGTTGCAGTTGTTCATGGGCGGCAGTAGTCACTTACCATCAGGTAAGCCGTATGCTCGTTCGCCCCCTCTCTTATAAAAAAGCCTTAGTAGTAAATAATCATGTTTTAGCGTAACAAAAGCCTATTCACCCTTGCCTTAAAGACACCCAAAAAAACGAGTGCAATGTAATCGATTCTCGAATAAATTGAGCATTTTAAGATCTATATCCTGTGTTAAATAGGAAGATAAAAAAGAATTGCAAACCATTACCATTATCCAATACAATAACTCTATTACAGGCATCAAGGACCTAAAAATTAAGAACATTGGCCTATAGCAATTTATACTAAAAATATATATAAAATATAGACATAACACTATTAAGGGAACTTTCTTCTTTAGTGCGTCCCTGTATCGGTGAAACACTACGCCAGAATGTCTCTTTGTGTTTTGCAGGAACCTTGAGTACGTAGCATTTGAAGTTTGTTGATCTATTAGACTCCAGACGTTGCAAATGAAAATACATCGGATCCTCAATGCCACATCGGCTTTGTTATTTCACGAAATGCAGGACGTCTTCTCTCGACGTACTATTGTTCAAACGGAAGATGTAGAGCTGTATGGTTGGCTCCACAATACGCAGAGTTGTACTCGCGTTTATTTTGGCGGTTCCACGCTGGTTACAGACGGTTCCCGACCGACGCCTCTTCTTAACAAGAGTATACCCGTCATTATCAATCTTGTTTCGGGTCATCCCTGGAACTGATTTCATTTCCACATTCTTTCGCTTTCGACCACAACAGGCACCCTGTTGTGAAAATTTTTGGGCAACATCCGCAAACGTCTTCCCTTGTTGTGAGGTTGGCTTCGGCGGAAGAGTACTTATGGGTTCAGTCAAGGAGTGAGGTGGTGATGCAATGACGACCGTGGTCGCCTTATTTTCACGGTCATCGACCCACTGACAGACGGTATCGCGTGATGGAGTCGCAATCATCGGTGAAATATGACTACTATTACGATTACCGCGTGTTGTATTTACATTCTGCGACCACGGTAAGTTCGCAGATGTTGCATTTACGCTGCGCAACATAGTAACTTCGTTCCTCAGCTCTGTTGCGGCTCGTTCGGATTGTTCAAATTTAAAACAGATGTCGGTGATTTCGGCTTTCAACGTGGTGAATGTCTTTCTGTACGTGGTAGAGTCATGCTGCAGCTATATTAGTAGTATAGTTGTAGCACGAATGGGTCGGCTCGACCGGGGAAGGACCACGCTCTCACAGAATACCAGCGTCAAATAGCAGCTTAACACTGCTGTGTTTCGTATGGGAAGTGTAGAGAACCGGAGACCCTTTTCACTGGAAAAGAGGCATTCCATCTTAATCCTCACGGGTGACAACGCATCTGCATTTTGATTCGCAAATGAGGATAAAAGTAGATGTCTATGGGCTACAGCAACCACTTACCATCAGGTGGACTGTGTGCCCGTTTGTCACCTTATTCTATAAAATAAAAATAAAAATTTCATCAATTTATTCACGTCTACGTGATCGAACGTCACGGGAGGCAGCTTGTTGAGATCACGCGAGACGAAATTCGGGATGTCATCTGGGTCGGTATCATTAAACAGCTTGAATTTATCTTGCAGGTTTTTCTTGCCACGTCTATCCCTGTGACGTGGGATAAGACGGATTTGAGTCACAGCTGAATCTGCTAATACCTTCTTCAATTCGATGATCTCGTCCTCAGTGAAGTTTGTCATGAGTATATGTAAATATCAAAATCTGTGGTGCATAAAGTTATCAAGAGGATTCGGCTGACCGGACAGTAAAAGAGACTCGTAGAATAGCGGACGTAAGCGGAAAACTGTGGCCAGAGATGACCGGTTCATCGTTACCAGCGTGCTTAAAAACCGGACCTTATCTTGTTCTGAGGTAAGAACGAAGCTCCAAGAAGTTCGAAAGGTTACAATAAACATAAAAACTGTGAGAATTAGAATATAATCGGCCGGAATAAATTGTAAGTACCTTCCAGAGGCCCTCTTACCACATGGCATTGAGCAGCTCTATTAAATCTAGCTCGCAATCACGAAAATTGGATAGGTGAAGTTTGGAGTCAAGTTCTATTCACAAATGAGTCCAGATTTTACCTGAAGGTAATCAGAGCCGCTCAGGAGAGTTCACGCTCAGTGCAACATGATTGGAAAAGAGGCAGAGGGTCAGTCATGGTATGGTCTGCGTAATTGAGAATGGGTCACTAACAGCAGCATGATATGCAACTGAGATTTTGGAAGAAATTGTAATGCCATTTGCTCCTTTTGTAGGAGATAGATTAGTTTTTAAGCATGATAATGCACGCCCCTAGTCCTTTGAGATTGTTGAATCCATGCTATGGGTTGGTCAGCACGCTCGTCTGACCTAAGGTACATAGAGCATATATAGCATTAGCTTACAAACTAGCTAACAAAAGAAATCCTGCCCCCGGCAATTTGAGAGACGACAGGAAGAATGGAACTCAATCTCTCAAGGTTTTATTGATAAACTGATTAGGAGTATGTTCAAAAGACTGAAAGCAGTTCGAAAAGCTATAGGAGGCAACACTAAATGCTGATTGCTGCCCATCTTAAAGCTTAAGCATTTATGAAAAAAAAATTAAGAACAAAATGTTACTTTCCTGAAAAATTTTTGACTTAACCGTTTGTTTTTTCAACGTTTACAATTGTTTAAATTTTAAGTTAAAGCATAATAAGCAAAATCAAAATAAATAAACTTAATTGTCACAAATATTCATGATATTTTGCTTATTTGTTCCGCTAAATTTTTGATTAATGTAGATTGAGAAAAAATATAAGTGGTATGGCTGAATCGTGTATGAATGATTTAGACTTGGAGACTGTGTGGTATAATGTCAAGAAAGGTTTGGTGGATGCAGCTACCGAAGTATGTGGTGTAAGTAAGAGAACGAATGAAAGGAAAAATAACACGTTATGGTAGGATGATGAGGTACGAATGGAAGTTGAAGCTAAGAAGAAGGCACGGCTAGATTTACCGGCAACAAAGGCTAATAATTCTAGCGGTATGAATGATGATATTGAAAGGAAAAAGGCAGTCTTTAGACATCTAAATAAGAGAGTAAAAGAAGTAGTTGAAAGGAAAAAGCAAGAAAGAATGGATAAGAATGATAGAAGAATATCGGATAACTTCCAGGCAAACATTAAAATATTCTGGAAATTCGTAAGAACTGCCAAGGGACATTCAAAACAGCCTAGAATTAATGCTATACGAGACCAGAATGGCTGTATTCTGAATGACGAAGTTTTGAGTTTAAGGAGATGGAAGGAATACTTTGAAAGTGTGTTTATGAGTGATGAGACGTTTGAATTAAATGAAATAGAAATTCCGAAAGAAGAGGAAATGGGTAGAGACATAAGTATATATGAAATAATGAAAGCAATGAAAACTATGAAAGCAGGTAAGGCAGCCGGATATGATAGAGTATCTCTCGCTCTCGCTAAGGGCTGGAGAAGGGATGGTGGCAGACCTGCTGTGCACCTTGTTTAATTTATGTTGGGAACTTAAGCGGGTACCGGTAGACTGGTGCAAAGCCGTAATAGTCCCAATATATAAGAGAAAAGGATCATAGCAGGACTGTAAAAACTACCGTGGTATCAGCCTTCTTAGCATTGTAGGAAAACTGTATGCTAAGGTACTAATTGAAAGAGTTATGAAAGAAACTGATGGAAAAATTTGGGATGTGTAAGCGGGTTTTAGAAAGGGAATGGGATGCGCAGATCAGTTTTTTTCCATGCGCATGATCGCGGAGAAGTTTTTGGCTAAATACCAAAAAGTTTTTTGTGCGTTCATGGACTTGGAGAAGGCTTATGACAGAGTGGACAGGGGTATGTTATGGCAAATACTGAACTAATTTGGGTTGAGCGCTGGGTTGATACAGGCATTGAAGTCTCTGTATAGGGACTCTAGTGCTTGTGTCAGGATCAACGGGGCCTACTCGGATTGGTTTGGCATCCATTAAGGACAGGGCTGTGTGGCTTCCCCATGGCTGTTCAACCTATTTATGGACAGTTGTTTGGAAAATTTTAAATTTGAAGAATGCGGTTTAAGAATGGGTGAATTAACCGTCAAATGCCTTTTGTACGCTGATGATCAAGTCATACTTGCGTCGTCGGCGGCCTAATCGCAAATGATGGTTACGTTAATGAACAGGACATTAAAAGAAAAGGGAATGAAAGGGAACGCAAGTAAGACGAAAGTTATGGTTTTTGAAAGAGAAGAAAGTGAAACGACATGTGAAATAAGAATAGAAGGGGAGTTGGTTGAGCAAGTAGATAAGTTTGTGTATTTGGGATATGTATTTAGCAGGGATGGTAGACATGATAAGGATATAGAACGACGAGTGAATGCAGGAAATAGAGTGAATGGGGCTCTACACCCTATTATGAGAAGTCAGAATGTGTCCAAAAAGGCACTTATGGCAATTTACAAAGCTGTGTTAGTCCCTACTTTAATATATGGTAGTGAAAGTTGGGTGTGACAGAAGAAGCATGAGAGTAGAATAAAGGCTGTAGAAATGCGGTCGTTAAGGAGT